TAAATGATACTGGCTATTTTCACAGATGATTATTGGGTCATTGTTTACATTTATTTATATTTTAAATTTTCTTTATTTTAGAGCCATCCTAACTATTGCCATCAAAATATAAAATGTTATTCAATGCAAGCCTATATTTATCATATATTAGCTGAATAAAAATAATATATATATTATACAATTATACTTTTAACATTTAACAACATTAATGCAGCAAAGCCTATTCAAAACCCCAAAAAATCTAGGCCTCAATCTAGGTCTAGCGCATGTATAAAAACGCGTAAAATTGCGCGTATGAGCCCGTGGAGTTGTCGAGAACGCATAGTAAAGCAAAAATATTTGCTGTTTTCAATCGAAAATTTTAAAAAATCGGAATAAGTTGTCTGGCAACTATTTCACAGAATGATACAAGAACAGACACTGATTGTTCATTGGAGACCAATGCTAACATCCAGAAAAATTGCACAATTTTGTAAAACGACGATAATTACAACCATGTTAAGCGATATTAACATTTATGGAGTTAGGGCGTTGTTTGTTTACATTTTTACTGTAGACCGGCCTTAATTTTCTTGTTAAAATTCATGATTTTTATATACATTCATGCATTGCAAAAATTTTGTTTAGTAGCTGATATAATAATTAGACAAACAGAACTTGAATGGGGGATATTATACTCATATATTATTTTTAGCACAATTCTACTATGTACCAAAAAATGCAGTTCCGCTAGGCTCGCACTATCACAATCGCGACATGAGTGTGTTCGTTCGAGGCTTGAAGGCGCGTTGAAAACACTTATTATCCCAATATAGTGCGTATGAAACTGCCGTGTTTAGGATACCTTTTTTTCTCGATGGATTTGGCAAGATGAACCAATTTAGATAAAATATAGCTCCTATATACCTCCCAGATATTGGGGGAAAGTCCCGTTTGGAGGCATTTTTCAAAATGGCCGCCTGTTGATTTGGACGCTGTATCTCGATAACCACTGGTCAGAGAGACTTGATTTTGGTCTCAAATTGTTCACAATTATGCATGTTCCTATGTGTTGTTAATACAACTTTTTATCAAAAAAAGGCGGAAAACGCGATTTTTGAGTTTGACCTTTAACCTTGTAATGTCATATCTCATTAACTACTGGTCATAGAGACTCACAATTGATTGCAAATTGTTCAGGAGATTCATGTTTATATTCGTCCTAATGAAAAATTTCAAATAGTGACCGGAAACGGTACATTCTGACCTTTGACCTATTGAAGGGTCATCCATGTCAAATTAAACAGATTAAAAAGAAATTCCTGTATGACCGTCTCAGATTTTCATGAAACTCCATAAAAATGATCCACTGTATGAAAAAACTACAAAAAAAAAAAATTAGCCTCATAGGATATGTATTTTTCGAGATATTGACTCCGCAAAAATATGGGGCGTGGTCCTTCAAGATGTTCAAACGCAATTTACTTCAACTTTGGAAGCTTATAACTCGAGATTGGAAATAGCTATCAGGGTCAAACTTGGTATCCTAACTTACTTTTTGCCATATTTCACAAATATGGCCTTAGATTAACAGCTTTTTCTTCTCTTTTGAAGTTATCTGCACTCAAATTAGCCACTTTGTTTAACGATGCAAATTGTTTGTGATTTTTTAGGTTGCCCTGCGTCTATATGAGTGGGTATATACACCTCATATTACAGATATATTGTCTATGTGTAGTTGTTTCGAGCCGCATGTAAGCGCAAGCTGATCAAATCAATTAATATTGAATGGCATATATTTAAAGTTGGGACCAGATATATAAATGTGAAAAACGCCAATGTTTCTCAACAACGGATTATCTTGTGGAAAGTTAAAATCTTTCCTTAAATTTACCCCAGTAAATCAGATACATTAGATCTACCTATAAACCAAATTTTACCTCATGGCTAGATACTATGTTGAAAACTACACATATTTCAATGTAATAGGAAATCACAAACATTTTTGAGTTGGTTCATTCCATGCCAAACAAACAAATGCATTAAACCATGGGCCATACATTTTATTTTTTTTATTTTTTGCCACACTGACTCAGTGATATAGATATCTATGTGAACTGAAAACCTGAAATTTTTAGACTCGCCAATTCGTTCATTTTTTCTGTAGCGGCAGTTTGAAGTTAAGATGTGTGGCCCAAAATAAATATGAATATAATGCGAATTCTAGGAAGTTCCTATTCATGAATCGAACATGAATATATTCATGGAACAGTATAGAAAGTTTCCAGAAAATAATTTACCATATATTGGCCACAAAATGTATGTGATGTCCCAAGTGCCATGTGCTGTGACTTACTAATAATACGGGCTGTCACCCACAATACAAATTTAATGAGGTTATTATTACCAAGATTGAAGTTGTACATTAAGAATTAAACCAGAAATAACTTTAGATAAATGAAGTTGAAATTCATAGAAAAATAAATGGGTCTATGACATAGATTTAGAAAATTAAAGCAAAATATTTATATAAAAGTAGGGTATTATTGTTGATGATGTGGTAAAAACATGTTTTTAAGGATTTGAAATCAGCAGTAAAAGGTGTCCTACACCACAAAAGGTGATGATATTATTAAAATCAAAGTTAATTTAAGGCACACCCCCTTTACGTCGAATTGCCCCTACGGGAAAAAGAAAAGGGAATCCGAGTCTCAAAACTTCAGGTTTTTCTATTCACAAGGCTGGAGGGTTCAAAAAATAAAAAACCTATGACCTGTAATGTTGTATATTTGTTGCCCCCTTAACCTCAAACTGCCGCTACAGGAAAAAGAATGATTTGGGGTGTTTCAAAATTTCAGGTTTTTCAGTTCACATAGATATCTATATCACTGAGACAGTGTCCAAAAAAAAAAAAATAAAAAATCCCTCGTGTAATGCATTTGTTAAAATTGGCATAGAATGACTCAACTCTTAAAAATTTTCGTGATTTCCGATTATGTTATTGTGTAGTTTTCAACATAGTATCTAACCATGAAGGAGCTGAGTACCAAAGCTGAAATTTGGTTTATAGGTAGATCTAATATAGCTGATTAACTGGGATAAATTTAAGAAAAGATTTTAAATGTTCGCATGACAATCCGTTGTTGAGAAAAATAGGCGTTTTTCACTTTTACAGATCTGGCCCCAACTTTGAATATATGCTATTCAATTTTAATTGATTTGATCAGCATGCGCTTGCATGTGGCTAGAGACAACTACACTTAGATAATATATCTGTAATATGAGGGGTATATACCCACTCAAATGGACGCAGGGTGACCTCGAAAATCACAAAAAAAATTGCATCGTTAAACAAAGCGGCTACTTTGAGTGTAGATAACTTCAAAAGGGAAGGGATAACTGTTAATCTAACAGTTCGTGAAATATGTCAAAAAATAAGTTAGGATACCAAGTTTGACCCTGATAGCTATCACCAATCTTGAGTTATAAGCTTCCAAAGTTGAAGTAAATTGCATTTGCTTATCTTGAAGAACCACGCCCCTTTTTTGATGAGTCAATATCTTGGAAACTATTTACCTATAAGGCTAATTTTTTTTGTTAGTTTAGCATATAGTTTATTATTTTTATGGAGTTTCATGAAAATCTTAGACAATCATACAGGAATTCTTTTTTTAATCTGGTTTATTCGACATGGAATGACCCTACAATAGGTCAAAGGTCAGAATGTGAACAATTTGAGATCAAAATCAAGTCTCTCTGACTAGTGGTTATCGAGATACAAGCGTCCAAATCAACAGACAGCCATTTTGAAAAACGCCCCCAAACGGGACTTTCCCCCATATCTGGGAGGTATATTGGAGCTATATTTTATCTAAATTGGTCCATCTTGCCAAATCCATCGAGAAAAAAAGGTATCCTAAAATTAGTCACGGATCTCATGAAAATGACTCTACTAATAGAACACAAGCACACACATAGAAACAACTAGCAGGTGTCAATGAGACATGTCTGGTGCATGTGCATGGGAACTTGCGTACCGGCGCGCATTATTTTTTTTACGCATGTGGTTATAGGAGTTAGGATTTTTATTTGTTTTTGTTTTAGTGTTAGTGGCATGAGGGTCTTTTCTCCTATACAATATTATGGGGAATTAAATACGTTCATGCGCAAGCGTAGTGTTTTTAAAGCAGGATTTTTTTTTTTTTTTTTTTTTTTTTTGGTTTTAGTGTTAGCTGGTATTTGGGTCATTCCTGCTTGCGCGGCTTGCGTGACTGAATAGATAATTTTGATCGACTTGTCAATAATTTCACTGTTTCTGGTAGTTCAAACTCTATCTAATCACTTGTGGTCAACTATAAGTTCCATGGATTATTGTATGCAGATAATTTTTTAATTTTTTTTTTGGACGAGGTAATTGTTTTCTATTTTATTATTATTATTATTATTATTGATATTCTGTACCGTACGCAGTATGCTACGTGAGTTATTTGAAAGAGGTTGTGCCGTACGCTCCTCGTATGCTACAGAGAGAGAGATGCTTTTTTTTTTTTTTTGGTTTTAGTGTTAGTGGCATGGGGGTTTTGTTTGCATCGTACACTATTCGTAAGCTGCATTACTGAATGCTTTCTTTTTTAGATGGTTTATGGAAAATATATATATATATATTTTTTTTTGCACCGTACGCTATATGTATGCTGCTGCGTTGACTGTTTATTTGTGATATATGTTTTGCACTGTACGCTATTCATAAGCTGCGCTACTGAATGATTTCTTCGTAATAGTTTGCACCATACGCTCTTCGTATACTGCACTATCAAATATATTCTATGGAGATGGGTTATAC